CCACCCACACGCCTTCCTCAGCTCTGTGCGCACATGGCCACCACCTGGACTGCAAGCTGTGAGCCCAGACGGAGACCCACGATGGGCAGGCCGTGACAGAACCCCAGGAGCCGGGCCACACAGGCAGAGCCATCCCCGACTCCCCAAGCCAGTGGGGACACTGGCATACAGTTCCAGCCTGAGATGGGACAGCCGGTGACTCAGCACAGAGGCACGGCCCAAGCACAGAGCAAGGGGGTCAGGGCGGTCTCCTCTGACACCCCTGAGGAGGACTCCGACTGCCACCAGGTATGGAAGGTGGGCCCATCCTTGAAGGTGTTCGAAAAGGACACCTGAAAAGGGTCTATCCCTAAGGGCGGAGCATTAAGTCAAAAAGCTGTGGGGCTTTTGTGGGGTCTCTGTTGTTGTTACTGGGGATTAAACCCAAAGATGCTTTGCCACTGAGCTACACCCCCAGCCCTTTTTATGATTTTATTTTGAGACAGGGTCTCACTAAGTTGCCCACCCTGGCCTCAAACTTGCAATCCTCCTGCCCCAGCCTCCCAACTCACTGGAATCGCAGGTGTGTGCCTGTCCCTCTCGGGCTTTGGAAGCACATACCTGGTGGGATCTCCAGCCACCCAGCGAGACCAGCTTGACTCAGGAGGAATCGGGCCTGTCCCCACCATGCTGTGATGGACAGGCTCACCTGAGACTCAGGACGGAGACTACTCAGCGGACTCTGGAAGGGAAAGAGCGTGTTCGGCCTGTCTAAGAGGGTGTGTATTGAGGAGGACTGCATGGCCTTATCACTCCCCCAGGTTTAATGTCAGATTCCTGGAGCACCAGAGGGGGGACTGGGTGAGGAGGGCAGAGCCCCTGTGGGAGGCTCTCAGAAGAGAGGCCCAAGGGGCTCAGGCTCTGCCATGTGGGAGCACAGCCAGACGAGATGTCCACAGACCAGAAAGGGGCCCTCTCCAGACACCAAGGCTGTCAGTCGCGTGGTCTTGGACTGTGAGCCGGCAGAACTGAGCACGAGTGTCCGCTGCCTGCTGGTCAGTCCGGCCTCACTGTGAGGAAACGCCTGGGGCAGGCGACTTCACACAGAGAAGAGGCTGAGTAGCACCTGCCTCGGCCCAGTTCTGAAGGCCTCATAACAATGGGCGTGGGGACAGCGGGGGGGGGGGCGGGGGGGCGGTTGGAGCAAGCATGGCATCTCCAGGCAGGGCAAGCAGGCTCTGACCAACCCTCCCCAAGAGCCACCCTCCACTGACCCAGGGACTGCCCACTGGGCTAAGCTCCAAAGATGCCCGCCTCCCCATGGTGCCACCTTGCAGAGCAAGCCTGCACTCCCAGGGGACACTCGCAGGGCACCCCAACCGCACCCCAGCCACAGCACGCTGCTGTGAGCCCCCAGCAGCCACCAAGAAGCACACACCCTCCTTCCTGTCCTTTCCCTTTCCTTCCTGGGCCCATTGCAGGGAGGAGTAGGGGAGGTGGCCTTTTTGATGGGCAGAGAAACTGCTGGAAGGTCAGCCCTGGAGGCCTTCCTCCTGCTCTCTGCTGCCCACAGTTCTGTTTGCTTTGTCCAAATCTTCCTGTGGCTGCCCCTGGAGTCTGCGGGGGCAGCTGGCTTCGGCCTGTCCCCTGGCCCTCCAGATTCCAAAGGCTGTAGGCACTCCCCGTCTCCCCCTCCCTCTAGCCCTGTGGGCCAGCTCTGTCTCCAAGCCTGTCCACCTGGCTCCTGGGGACCGCTTCCTGCTGCTGCCTTCAGCCCAGAGCCCTGAGCAGGGTCCAGGCAGCCTTGGCCTCCAGCCGGGGAGCCCCTCTGCTTTCCAGGCTCTGGGGAAGTCTCTGGAGCAGGCTGTGCCCACCTGCCCAAGGCCTGGGCTCCGGCCTCCAGCGTCAGAGCCCTGAGCCCTCCTGGGCTGGCGGTCCCAGCCACCGCTGGGTTCCACAGCCTCCTTGCTGGGCCGTGCTGCCGCCAACTGCAGAGGTTTCCCTTTATTTATCTTTATTTAATTTACTTAACTGATTGATTCATTGGTGCTGAGAATGGAACCCAGGGGCCCTTCACAGCCTCTTTTTATTTTATTTTGAGGCATTGTCTTGAAGTTGTGGAGGCTGCCCTCAAACTTGACCCTCCTGATCAGCCTCCCTACCTTGGGGAGCACAGGCCTGTGCCAACTGGCCCTATGGCTTCTTAAAGAATTCTCAGCCTCTTGTTCTGACCTGCAGCTCAAAGGCCCTTGAAAATGAGGGTCTCTTAAAATTCTTATTTTCCATTTCAAATTATACTCAGTGACTTTCAGTAACTAAAAGCAGCGACTGCCGCCCTGGCCCAAGAGCTTTCCTTCCTGAACTGCCAGGCGGTGCGCAGGCAGCCTTCCCAGTGGAGACCCTGCTCCCCTCGAGGCCGGGAGCCTCCGCCGCTACACAATGAGGCTGGGTGCGAAGGGCCCCGCGCCGTCAGCAAGGGATGAGACCCGGCCGCTTGTGGCACTTTCCCCCATCCCCGCCCAGCAGCGCCACCCCTGCTCTTGCAGCTGCTTCTCAAGACCAAGCCTCAGAGCCCACCCGCCCCTGAGGCTGAGGCCAGAGGATCGGAAGTTCGGCGGGCAGGGGGCAACTTATGGAGACTGAGGGTGCCGCTGGGGGGTAGAGCACCGCTGCAGGGGATGCTCGCACGCCTCCTGCATACCTGGCCAGCCCGTTTCCACCCTAGAACCCCTCCCCACAGCCAAGTGGTGTCAGAAACCGTGTGCTGGCTGGGGTTGGAGATTGGCCAGCCCCACTGCCTGGTCAGGAAGACCCCACTAGGAGGAGTGGGAACAGGGACTGTCCTGCCAAGAGGTGCTGGTTGTTGCTAGGGTGTCATTGGCAGTTGACCCCAGCAAGTGGCCTAAAGGGGGACATCTTTGCCCACGGGGAGTGCAGTGCCTAGGAGGACAGGCCCCTGGCCAGGGGTCCCCAAGCTGCACTACCCTTCAGAGGGGCAGGGAGACTGTGAGGGTGGTAGGCGGGGCGAGTGTGCAGGTGTGAGACCCAGAAAGGGCCCGGGCAAGTCCCCCGCAGCCTCTGCCCAGACCAAGCCAGAATCTAGCCTCGGGCTCCAGGGCTCAGCCCATCCCAGAGGGTGTTGCCTGTGTGATTCAGAATCACAAGATCGTTACTGATAGCTCTGTTCTTGTGACAAATGCCAATCCAACAACAAGCATAAGGTTGTGAGAAAAAGGAAAAAGAAGTTTATTTCTTGGCTAGCAAAGGAGAAACTCAGGGGCTCCTGCCCAGAGGCTGTGGTTCTGCCCAGCAGGGAAAACGGGGCTTTTGAAGACGCTATTCAAAGGCTACCTCCAGGTGTGCCCTGACGGGGTCACCACGGTGCACCCTGGTGCTGTGTTGACATTCACCTGTTAATCTGTTAGATTGTCACTTTCTAGTTCTTCCAGTGACATCTCCTCCCTGTGGAGGACAGATAACTCTAGGTAATCTTGTCCCCAGGTTAAGGAGGGAGAGAGGGAGAAGAGGAAAAGAAGAACTTGTCCCTTTTAAATAAACCCAGGGGGCGCTCTCTTCCACAGGTGCAGTGGACCCTGCTACAAGATCAGGAAAAGCAGATGGGAGCCAGGCGGGTCTCCCACTCCTGTGACTCCAGAGACTCGGGGAGCTGAGGCAGGAGGATCGCGAGTTCAAAGCCAGCACTACAAAAAAAGAAAAGCCAGCCTCAGCAAAAGCAAGCTGCTAAACAACTCAGTGAGACCCTGTCTCTAAATAAAATAGGGCTAGGGATTTTGAACCCGCAATGCAAAGAAAAGACCACTGACTCCAATTTTAAACCAAATTAAAGCAAACTTATATTGTGTACACAAAGAGAGCTGGCCAGTGGTTGTCTCACCTAAATTTCAGCCCAGCTCTCAGGGAAGAAAAGGTTTATGTAGCACAAAGTTACAAAGGGGGTGTCTTGGGAACCTAGAGCTAAGAGGGTCTGGCAAACACAATACAAGGGCAGGCAGCAGGTTAATGATCTCCGTGGCCTGATATTTCAAGGTAAGCAGTAAATTCAGAGGCTGCTACTGGTCAGGGGGAGCCAGACTTATGAGGTGCTACTAAGGTTTTAGGGAGGGCTGCTATCTGGTCAGGCAAAGCCAGGCATGGGTGAGCTCAAGGCACGGGCAGGCATCCCAAGCAAGTTTAGAAATCTCAGAATTTTATAGTAAAACAGAAATCAAGTTTTCAGGACTTTGTGACAAGATGGCTCAGAATCTTAAGATGGAACTAGGCTGGGTTCATCAGGACGTGGCTCAGTGGCGGAGTGCCTCTGAGTTCGATGCCCAGTACCCAAAAAAAGACAAGAAAACTGGACGGGAGGACATGCAAGGAGTCCCCGAATGAAACTGAACATACAGGGACCTAAGACAGCAAGAAGTCCCCAACGGGGGTTGATATGTGGGCAGTATTGGCAGCAGATCAATATCAGCATCGGAGTCACTGTTTTAGGCTGGGAGCCATTTTATCTAGAGGCTCCAAAGTTTCGATTCTGAGGCAAAGCTGCTTAACTTCCTGTAAGAACAGGCCTGCTAAACAGCCAGCCCCACCCAGCTCAGGCCCCAGCTCCTAGACAGCTACGAGGCCCCTCCTGGGGCTCTGAGCTGCTCTGAGTGTCCCCAGCTGCTGCTCTGGTGGAGGACAGCCTTGCCGGCTTGCCTCCAGCTATTGACAGTGACTCTCTGGCAGGGTTCCAGCGTGTGGCACTGTGAAGGTGGCCTGAGGCCGAGCTTTAGCAACTGCATTTTAAAACTCCACTTTGAAACCTGCAGTCTCACAGGCACACCTAGGGAGCCCTCCAGTGGCCTCAGACACAAACAAGTCACTTCCCCCACCCTGACAAGCTCAGAGTGAAGCCCCTGGGAGGGAAAAGATAAAAGAGGGAAGGAGAAAAGATCAGGGTGGGGACCACCAGACCAGATGTTTTAACCCCAGGGTAAATGATGTCACTGAGAGATCCAGCGGCTGCTGACAGGATTAAAAGGGGGGTCAAAAGCCCCAAAATTTGTTATAAATAATAGAGCAAATGAACAGACATTCAGCCAGGTGACACTGATGCACACAAGCCTGAGAGCCTGGTGAGGACTTGGACTGACATCCCTACTCTTCTCATCTGCCTGAATCTCTGTGTAGTTCTCATCGCTCTCAAACTCTACAGTCACATCTTGACCCTGGTGAGTCGCAACTTCTCCCTAGGACATGGTCTCCTCAGCCAGCCATCAGCTCCACCCCAGGAGTAGCCTGCCTTGGTTCCAGACCTGATCACCGCAGTCTTGAGTGTGCACATCTGCTGGACTTCAAGACTAAGGCTGGAGACTTTTGATCTGACACTTGAACTTAGCATTCAGAGAGAATGTCTGTCGTTAGCCTGTCATGATTGTGTTTGCAGTGCTTGGAATTAATCTAGAATTGTTTGCTGTGAATTGATTATGTCTATTGCAGTGCCCAGCATTAAGGTTTGTCATTTTCTTGATCAAGAACCTATAGAGTTAAACTGTATGGAGTGATTTGAGTGACTAAAACATTAAAAAGGGCAGAAGCCCATAGACATTGTTTATTTCTCCCCCTGGACTGCATAAGTCGCACCTTTTGGTCTTTGGACTTTGTGGTACTCTGCAAGCTTCCTTTCAGTGAGGTCCTGGGTGTGAAGAAATCCCCCCAAAAGTGAACACACGTTGGGGTGAGGTGAAAAATGAAATGCACATGGGGAAATTCAATATGGAGTAAAAATTGTAGGGCAAGGGATGGATAAAAACAAAGGAGAGAGCCAATATGTGCAAATCTTCTCCTTTACTGAGCAAGAAAATACTCAGTGTAATAGTGAATAAAAACACCAATGGTCAGTCTTCTTTAAGCACAGGGAGCGCACCTCCTGGAGGGTAAGGGAGACCTAGTCTTGAGCACCAGCAAGGCCTATTTCAAATATAAGAGACCCTGAGGCTCACCTGTGGGAACACCTCCACCAGCTCCTTTGTCCAACAGGCGAAAAACCAGAAGGTAAACCCAGAGGGAAGTTGTGGGAAGAAAGGGGGATGAACCCAGATGGAAAGGAAGACCCTGGCCTTGATCTAGAACTGTTTACCGGGTTTTGCTCAGGTTCTCCCCAGAACCATGGGTGAACTCCCAAGCTGGCACACCAACCTGGGCTTTTCTACAGCAGGCGCCTCCTGATGGCAGGGTCTACCTCTTCTCCCTTAAGTAGATCCTGTTAGGTCGATGGAGGTGACTGAGGAACCAAGCACCACCAAGCAACCTGCGCTCAAAAGAACACCAGACACCGATGGAGCCACCTGTCAATCAGCAGGGTCATCTGACCAATCCTGGATCTTAGCCAACTCTGCCAACAAACCCCATTTGGATAAGGGACTCTAAAGACCCCTTTTCCTGTCCCAAGCCCTCCCTTCCTGCCCTAAGCCCAGTAAAAATTTCAGTCCAGTGGAGCCCCCCACTCTTCTCCTTAGACCCGCTCTGCTGGTCTGAGGGTCCCACCCTGGAGCGAAATCTCAACAAAGCCCCCCTCAGCCGCCTTTTTAAATCTGCCGCCTTTTGGTCGCAGCTGTCTGGCCTTACATCTTGTGCTGAAACCCGGGAGGGATTTTCGGGCGTCTTCCATACCTTACATCTGGGGATTGAGGTCCATCATCCCCGCTTCAAAGGAACCGGGAAATTCCTAAGCTGCTCCTTCCCTCTCCCTTCATCGGGCTGGCAAGAGTGGGGTAAGTTCCCATTTCCCCTGACCTTCCAGCCCCTTTCCATCCACGGGGGTCTGCCCGTAAGTCACGCGTGTGCCGTAGACTCCCACCCGTTCTGTTCAAGGCCTGGGGACTGCGGAGACTCCCAGTTCTTGTGTGAGCCATTCTGATCTGTTTGGGCTCCTGGCAGATTACAGGGATGCCTCAACCATCCCCGAGCCCTTATCTGTTCCTCAGGTGAATGCCATCAGAATTTGGGACGCCTTTTTCTGCTCCCACCCACCCCCGAGGGTGCCGGAAGATCTTGGGAAACACCGAGTCCTCCTTAGACCCCAAAAGTCCTTTGGATGTCTCTATTCAAATTTTGCCAAGTTAGGGCTCACTCAAGACCTACACCGTAACCGCCTGGTCGTTTACTGCACTGTGGCCTGGCCCCAGTGGGACTTAGACAATGGGTCACAATGAAGCCAGATTTAAAGTTAGGTAGTCAGGCGTGCGGCCCGGGTTCGATCCTCAGCACCACATACAAACAAAGATGTTGTGTCTGCCGATAACTAAAAATAAATATTAAAATTCTCTCTCTCTCTCTCTCTTTTAAAAAAAAAAAAATAAATAAATAAAGTTAGGTAGTCAGTGTAGTTAGGTAAATCGGGTGTAATATGGGTCTAATATCAGTGAAATCTAAAATGGAGGCCGTGCGGAGAATGACTCAGGGAAAACACAGGACAACTCATGGAATGTTAATGAAGTCCTGAAAAGGCCCTAGGCCAAAGTCCACCTCAAAGAAAGGTTAATGAACAGCCCCCAGCAAAAAGGTGCTGACTCAGAAGTCCTTCCTGACCAGATTACTTCTTTGGCCCACCTGTGTCCCACCCCTCGGTCCTTCCCACCTACGTTCCATCACTGAAAGAACTATAAAAAGGGGAGACAACATCCCTTCCACGGATTCCACCTCTTGGGTCCCCTTCTTCCTCTGGGAGAAGTCTTTTCTGCTGTCCTTTAATAAACTTCTAATTTCTACTCTGACCTTGCCTCGGCGTGCTTCTTTGGTGTTATTCTTCAACATTGGGGAAGCAAGAACTCGTCACCGGTCAAAAGCGGTAACAACAATGGCCCCCAGAAGGAACTTTTGATTTTAAATCCTCACTGAATTGGACATTTCTGTCACCAGACAGGGAGGCGGGCAGAGGTCCCTTACGTCTGGAGGCGCGTTCAGGCTTTTTGAGGTTCGCTCTGCCCCACCCTCTGTTCCGTCTGTTCTCCTGCTCAAGTCTTCCGCGCCAGGGAAAATCCCCAAGCCCTCTCCATTGTTCTTGGACCTCTCCTTCCACATTCTCAGATCCACCCGAGCTGCTCTCACCCCACCTTCCCGCCTTCCCCCTACCCACACCTACCCGCTCCCTCCTCCCCCTCCCTCCTCCCCCTCCCCTCCCCCTCCTCCTGCTACCACAGCTCCTCCTCCCCCACTCCAGGACCGTCCCCTCCTCTCCCCCTCTCCTGCAGCCATGATTCCTGCATCCACCTCTTCTACTGATAAACGCTTCCCCTCCCCCCACAACGGACTCCTCCACCCACTCACTCTCTCTTCTCCTGTCAGTGCCCACACCCGCTCCCAACGGGCCCTCTTACCAGCTAACCCAAAGCTCAAACGAGCTGAGGAGAGCCCTCAGACCCGTATCCCAGATCTGGTGAAAATGGCCTTTAAAGGAGGCTCCATTGCACAAAAAGGAAACACTCCAAACCCAGGCCTTGGCAGTGGGCCTGAGGCCGACCACTCAGGTGAGAACTTCTCGGGGGACCAGCCTTCCTCTCCACCAGGGGCTTGCTTCACATGTGGATGCGAAGGTCACGGCCCACCAGTGCCCAACCCACGGCCCCCCTCCAGGCCGTGCCCCACCTGTAAGCAGACAGGACTTTGGGGCAGTGACTGCCCCATGGCTGGCCCTTCCTCGGCGCCCCCACGTAGGGGCATGACCAGTCAGGCGGTCCCTTCTCTTGAACTATTGGGGTTTGCAGAAGACTGAAGAAGCCCGGACTCAAGGACCCCCATCACCCTCGCCGAGCCCAGGGTAATGCTCCAGGTAGCGGGTAAGTCCATAACCTTCCTTGTGGACATGGGGGCTACCTATTCTGTCTTGCCTGCCCACTCTGGGCCTCTGTTTCCTTCCCATATCTCAGTTATGGACAGCAAACCCTCCTTCCCAAACCGAACTGCTAGGCTGGCCTGTGCCCTGGAGGGACATCCTTCCACACACTCTTTTCTGGTCATTCCGTCCTGTCCAGTTCCCTCCTAGGCAGAGATTTCCCCAACTCCTAGGAGCCACCCTCTGACTACACGCCAAGAAGAATACCACCCATCTCCTTCTGCCTCTGATCCTTTCCTCTCTAATACCCAACAGATACCTACCGTCCCATTGCCCCTGACCTAGTCGATCCCCAGGTCTGGGACATCTCCAAGCCAGTCACAGCCTCCCACCACAAGCCAGTCCATATCCAGCTGAAACCCCAGACTAAATTTCCTTCTTGTCCCCAATTTCCCATCTCCAAAACCCACAGGGAGGGACTTAAACCCATCATAGACCCATTACTTGCCCGGCGACTCCTCATTCCTACAGACTCCCCCTCAACACCCCCATATTGCCAGTACACAAACCCTCAGGGGCCTATCGCTTAGTCCAGGACCTCCACCTAACTAATGAGGCGGTCATTCCCTCCACCCGGTGGTTCCCAGCCCTGACACTCTTCTTTCTCCTATCCCCTCTCTGACCACTCGCTTTACTGTCCTGGATCTTAAAGCTGCCTTCTTTACAGCGCCCCTCCATCCTGACTCTTATCACCTCTTTGCCTTCATATGGGAAGACCCTGCGTCCTTTAGGTCTCAACAGCTGACATGGACAGCCCTACCCCAAGGGTTCAGGGACAGTCGCCACCTCCTTGGTCAGGCCTTGGCACAGGATCCAACTGCTTGTGACTTGGGGACAGCACTCTCTTACAGCTGGATAGGAGCCTTCCCTACCCCCAGGGAAACTGCTGACACCCTCGCCTCCATCCTCATCGAGCAGATCATTCCCAGGTTCAGACTTCCCACCTCCATCCAGTCAGACAACGGTCCAGCCTTCACTTCTCAGGTTCAACTAGTCTCCAAAGGCCTCAACATCACTTGGAAGCTCCACATCTCCCACCAACCCCCATCCTCAGGTGAGGTTGACAGGACTGACAGCATTCTCAAGGAGCATCTCACTAAACTTGCTATGGAACTTGGCTGTCCTGGCCCCATCTCCTGCTGTTGGCCCTCACCTGAGTCCCTTTGAGCTGCTCTATGGCGCCCTTTCTTAATCAAGCAAAGCTTTCCTGTCACCACTCCTCCCCTGTGTCCCACCTGCCCTATCTCACACTTCTACACAGACTCCTAAGGGAACACACAGACCGGTGTCTTCCTGCACCATCTGTTACCTCTGTCCCAGCACAACCAGGAACTGAATCGGACCCTCTTCAACCGGGTGACGCAGTCTTACTTCGAGAGCTGCATCCTCAATTGTAGCAACCTCGCTGGACAGGACCCCAGTCATACTTACTACCCCAACAGTGGCCAAGCTCTTGGGCCACTCCCCCTGGTACCATGTGTTCTTCCTTAGGAAAGCACCTGTTGCAAATGTCCAGTCCTGGACTTCCAACACATTGGGGCCCACCCAACTCAAGGTTTCTCACCAACCCTCTTCTTCTTTTACTAATCATTACTCTCTCTCAAGCTTCTCTCCCAACCCACAGATGGTGCTTCTACATCCAAGCGACATGGCAGCAGGATGACACCACCCGCTCTCAGTTTATGGGCCAAGGTGATTGCCCTTTCACTGGCTGTAATCGGGCTATCACCCTTAATGTTACTGGATTCAACAGGGCCACCTCGTCCCACCTGTGCACAGCAATGCTGTGCTTCATAGCAGACCAAACTGAGGAATCCTGTAAGTGCCGGCCTGACACCTAAGGTGGGTACCCTGATAATTCATGCAAGACACGCTTCCTAGATGAGCCTGGCTGTGAGAATCGAGCATACACCAAGTTAACTACTTGGGACCCATGGGACCCAAAATGGGCTTCTGGTGCTGATGGTTAATTTTATTCTTGGGGTTTTTGCAAGTACCCCTCAGCCTCTCTCAGAATCTGGAGAACTTATATACAAGTGCTCCCTCAAATTCACATGACCATCCAGGAGCAGGAGAGAGAACTCCAACACCAGCTGGATGCAGCTGCCCATCCTAGAGGTGACCCTTTCTCATGGGAGGCCCTAATACGTCAGGGCCTTCAGCTTCTCAATTTGTCCAAAGTGAATAACATTTCAGACTGTTTTCTCTGCGCAGGTTTGGATCAAACTCCATCAACTGAGATTCCCATTGACCTTCCTCTCGATATCTCAACCAGACCCCAAGGGCTCCCCTCTCCAGCCTTTGAGGAAGTACCTCTTTTTTCTAACTCATCAGGGAATTTCCCCTGCTGCTACACTGCCTCTGGTTCAGAACCCTGTGACCAGATTGTTTGAATTTCTTCCCCAACCTTTGCTCTGCTGGGGTTCTTTTTCTGGTGCAATGGTACCTTAACAAAAAATCTAAGCCTCAACATGCCGTTGGCTTTTTTGGGTTCCTTCCACCTTGGTCCCCAATTAACTCTGTCCAGTGAGGCCAAATTAGCATGGCTTGTCACCACCTCCCTTTCCAGGACAAGAAGGGCCGTCTTCCTACCAGTAGTAAGTAATTGGACTGTCCCTGGCCTCCCCCCTCGCTGCCTCTGGACTGGGGGCAGGAGGACTTGGTTCTGCAGTAACCGCTACTCTGAAGCTTCAACAACAACCTTGGGAGGCGGTCGAGGCATCCGCTGCCTCTCCTGCTTCCCCGTCTATTGCCCAAGTCTCATTACAGCACCGTCGAGCCCTAGACCTCCTGACGGCAGACAAAGGAGAACCTGTCTATTCTTAAGCAGCCTGACCCGTGGCCAGCTGGCTGAACTCTGCCCCCATTGCATGGCCGACCCCCATTCTCACTCCTGTTAGTAGTAGGACCTCTATGAATGTCTGCTCCCTGCCTCCTCAGGTTCACCCAGTGGCCCCTCAGAGTGGGAATGTGGTCCTCATTGCTCCAAGGTTTATTTTTTAAATGTTTTTTTTTTGTGTGTGGGGGTGAAATTGCCAGAGTGACCTACAACCCATGTTCCTACACCCCTGCAGTGGCCTCCCTATGGAACTGACCCCCAGCCATCCCTTTCCCCACCCCCCAGTGCCCCAGCCAGCAGGAGATAGACAGATTAGATTCACCAAAAAGGCCAGGCTGTCAGGTCAATGGAGGTGACTGAGGAACAAAGGACCAAACAACCTGCGTGTGTGCGAAAGAAACACCAGTCAGACACCCACGGAACCACCTGTCAATCAGCGGGGTCTCCTGGCCATGCTGGATCTTAGCCAGCTCCCCCAACAAACCCTGTAGGACAAGGGACTCTAAGAACCCATTTTCCTTTCCCAAGCCCTGCCTTCCTGCCCTAAGCCCAATAAAAACTCCAGTGGGGGGGGGAGCCCCCACCTGCTCCTGGGACCCACCCTGCTGGCCTGAGGGTCCGCCTGGGAGCGAGAGCTCAACAAAGCCTCGCTCAGCAGCCTTTTTAAGCTTGCCTCCTTTT